AATTATTCTGCTTTATATCTATTTAAATTTTCAATAACTTCGACGTTCTTAACCTTAAAGTTATAATCTACCCACTGTCTGATTCTCAATCTATGGTTTTCGTTTCTATGTATCTTGTTGCAATAACGATATTCCATCACAGATGGTAAAAGGAAACAAATAAAACAACCTATAACATACATAAATAGGTTTTTTAAGTATTTTGAAAAAAACTGTTTACTAATTTTTATTGCACATCAATCTACATGATTAAATCAATTTTTTTTAAACACGACGTATCATAACGCTCTAACATTTAGGTTGATTGATTTTATAATTATTTGTCTTTAAAATAATTAAAGTAGAAACAAATTGTGATACGAATTTCTGTAATCAACATGTATTTTTCCATAGCTTTTAAATTCTAAGTGGAGAAAAAAAAATTATGTATTGATTATACAATGAAGTATTATTTTTTGTACCAGAAAACCCTATATATAGTTGAATAAATTGCTTTGATTCTAAATTTCAATATCTTTTTAGTAGTAAAAGATGTGCATCTAAAATAACTGCTATTTTAATTATTTTGCTAGAGTTCAAGAATATTATTTATAAAAACTTGACATTTTTAATGTTTATTATTATGTTTCATACATACAATAATATTTTTAAAGCATTCTTTAATAACAATATAAATATATTAGAAACTGCTTTCGCTCAGAATCCTCTTTTGTACGTAATGATTGATCATTGAATACAAATTCAACATATACCCACATTACAATTACTTACTCAATGGTAAAGTTCACTCATCGCCTACTGAACAACAAAGCAATTATATACTTCCCTCTTTTAACCTTTTAAAATGTATTATTTACTTAAGGAATTTTATTTTTAAGATATTATTATTAAACTATAACACGCTTAATGTTATTTCCTTATAAATTAACTTTTAATAATAAAAGTTGAACTTTAAATAGTTAATCAGTTTAAATTACGTTAACTTGCTAATAAACTTCAAAACTTGAGAGGTTTAACTGTTTGTTGAAATAACTTAGCTTTTTTAGTTGATTTAAATATAATCTATTAGGTTAATATACCTATACCTACCAATAAAAACTTTTTTTAAATATTTGGTTTTGATTATTGTATACAATAGTTACTAAATATACACGATTTTTAATAAAAATAATTTTTTACTATAACAATAGTAATAATTTTTTAATTTTTTAAATATTTTGTCGTAAAATTATATAAGGTAACTATATTTAGACACAGAATATTCTTTAAAAAATAGTTTGATTTATTTAAACTGATTTTATAAAATATTTTTTTACCATATCAACTTAACAAATTAAATATATTATTTGTATACTCATTTATTCTGTAACTATTAACTTCTAACTTCTTTGTTGCTCACCAAACTTATCTTTATTAGAGTTGATTATTGTCATTAACTTGTTCGCTTTTGGTCATAATAGTTAACTATATAAATATCAGTTTTATAAATCTTAAACATTTAATTTATTTATATTTATATATTTATTTAATTAATATAAAATTCTGAATATTAATTTTAAATTTAAGATGAACAAAACTATCGTTTTTTCAATAGTACTTTACATAATTGTATTAAGTTAACTACAGGAATTAAATAACATATAAAATGTATTCATCATAAATTCGTAATATTATATAAGAACTTTTAATTTCTTGTATTTAATTTTAAATTTTTGTGCTAATTTATCGATGGTTAAATTTTAATTATCATATTGGCTATATAGCATTTTATATCAAGGTATTTTATTTTTATTTTTTACTGTATAATTAATTATTTATTATTAGAATTTACAGAGAAAATTATTTTCACATAATTGATATTAGTCCATTGGATAATAAATAAAGACTAGGTAGTAAATGTTAACTTTGTTATTACTTAGATACATGATTGCATTTTTATTAAAAAAATCAATAATTAAACCAATATAAATGTATTGTTGTAATTTATATAATATGCATTAAATAACCGTATAAAAAAAAAAAATTATATGACTATATTGTATAATCTATTATTTTATTTAAGAATTACTGTATAGATTGAATTATAATAGTTTCCAGGTGATAGGTCTTTGTTTTTTTGATAATATTTTTATCTAGTTCTTACCCGCGTTGCATTTATTGATACATGTTTGTCTATGCAGTTTTACTCCTAATTTTTAATATAATTTATTAAAATTAAATGTGTTTATTTAAATTATAAATTTAATTGAGCAACTAAATTTTTTAAACCTGAGAATGAGATAAATTATGACTCCGTGAAAAAAAAAATAAAAATATTGATTGTATCTAAATGTTATAACTTATTTTAGTAATATACTATTTTAATATTTAATAATCGTTTCTTTTTGTAAATGAAAACAGAAAATCATATCAAAGTTTTGCTTCACCAATTAGTTAAAAATTTACTATAAAACATATAATATTATGAACGAAAATTAGTAATTAAAATGTAATGTTGAAATAATAGTATACAACATTAAAATAAATAATGAGTACTTTTTAATTAATATAAAATTATCAAGTCATTTCGTTAATAATGAAAAAAATGTATATATTTTATATATTGAATGTTTTTCCAGTTCAAAATAAAATCCTAAGATGACATTGATTACATTATTGTTCAAGTAATTTCTCATAGATATTATTTGAAATTAATTATGTTTAAAATCTTATTTGATATGATCACAGTTACAACGATAAGTTTGATATAATTATAATAAGGAACAGTGTACATTTATATTCTGTTTACGAAAACCAAAAATCGACTAATGGTATTGAACTTTGGGAAAACTTTGTATTTACAGTTACAATTGTTTACGTAAAGTTTTCTGGTCATATCATTGTAAAGATCTTTAAAGAATTATTGCTTATTCGACAAACCAACTTTATTATTAAGATTAATAAAGATAAATAAAAATTAATCTCTTCCCAGTCTATCTTTAGCCCCGGGGATTTAGTGTATTCATAGTAGAAGTTTCAGACATTTACGTAGTTGGTGATTCTAAATAAATATTGTTTCGTATATTATTATTTCCTTCTTATTTTCGTTTTGTTCAATGTTTCTATTTCTTATTTATTCACCTGTTCAATACATTTCTTTATTTAATTAAATTTCTTTTCATTCGTTTTGGATTTCGAAGATATTTTTTACATTTCACATCACGTACGAACATATATTGAGAGTACCCAATCGTAGGAATAAAAATAGAATTTCCTGCTAAAATATTTTCCCTCTTTTTGACTATCAAAATGATTTATCAGAGAGATATATATATTTTAATACTGCACGACTTACAAGTTCAAAATTTCTTTTATTTCAAATGTTTTATTATCTTCAGTTACTCTTAATTCTTAATAAACCGTAAATATTTACAATGCAAATACCATGTTTTCAGTTTTAAAATTTCAACGTGTCAATATTTGTATTGTTAGAGTGCATCAAATGATACATAAAAAAAAAAAAAAATTCACCAATCTTGCATATAGTTAATTAACTAACTACTTCCTTAAATACAATTTCAACTGAACATATAAATGTTTAAATATTACTAATTAATATGCACACTAACAAAAAATTACTTGACGATATTCTAAAAAACAAATACTAACAGATACTATGAAAAATGTATCGGCATAGTAATTTATTTAAACATTTTTAAACAGTATTTCTCATTTTTATTGACTGCATTCTTACGAAAGTGACTCAAAATAACAATATATTTCAAACGATACAATCATAAATTATAATTGGCTCACTTTCATACTTTAGTAATATGAAAAGAATAGGTTTAAGATATATATATAATACAATTTGTAGACATTTTGTTCTTTATGCAACATAAAGAATAAAAGTTGTATGTATTATACAATATGAATATATACGCATAACTATTAGTTAATATTAATCAAAAAAAAAAAAATAAAATATATTAATCTAAACCACTCTAATTTTACATATTATCATTTTTTCTTATTTTAAGAAATCAAATAAATTTTATGTTCATTTTAAACATCTGTTTTAATTCTATAGTTTTATTCAAAAATTCTAATTTAAATAATATTTCTACCAAGTCGTTTAAAAAAGAAAATACAATTAATTTAATTTTTATAAACACATTTTTCACTGTTAAGTTTTACCTGAGAACAATAGTTTTATGAGTAGCATAACTACAGTGTCTCCAAAACTAAAAACTCAAAAACTTACTTATGTACAGGCGAATATTTTACAGCAAATTAAAATACCTTTATTAATTATTAAATATTAACTAAAAATTTATACGTATAAATAAGAAAAAGGAAAAATAGAAATCATAACTGTTGTTGTGGTTCTGAATAAATTTTAATCATAACTCACAGGTATTTATTATTTTTAAATGTCTAATAGAGTTATATAATTATGAATTTAAAGATTAATAGTTATTTTAATTGCATTTAAAAATACAATTTTAATTATTATAGTCAATATAATTTTTACATCGCATTCAATTATTCAAAGGAGGTTCAAAAATGTATGCACTTTATATTCATTTATATAAATTTGTAACAATAAAAAATAGGAAAATATTTTGTTATTATGTTAACATTATAATTATAATATTAAAATTAATAAAATACAATAAAATTACTTTTCAAATAATTTGTTCAACAAAAAATGTATTCTACAATAAACAATTGGACAAATGAAAATATATTTTGTAGTTTAACTAAAAAATGATTTAATATCTAATTAAATAACATCATTTCATTTGTAATCGGTATCTGTGTTAATTTCTACATGGATAAATATAATATATGAATATCTACGCGAGTTAAATGTTTATTTTTACTTAAATTTATTGAATATAAATTAAATCTATTTAAATCTACTTTCTATAAAATGAACTTAGAAATTTTTTAAAGTTCATATATTATTTATATCATTGTTTTATACGATATAGTTTAATATTTATGTTTGTTTTTAGATGTTGCCTAATTGGGACGGTACAACCAGTGGTTCGATTTCAGTAAAGTTTAAGACCAATGAGCCAGATGGTCTATTATTTTTCAGCAGAGGTCAAACTGAACATACCGTAAGTAAATTTAATAATGGCATAACAGAAATACATATTTAGTCAAAATTGACATATTTTAATAAGCTGTGTTTATTTTTATAAAAACTAATCTATTATCACGGTCATTAAAAATATAAATTTCAAATAACTGTACAGACGTAATTTAAACATCTGATTTTAAAAAAGTTATTTTTTTTTAAGAAAACCAACTTTTCTAAGTTTTGAAAAAATAATTAACATTATTGATTAATAATAAATTAATAAATTAAATTATTTTCAAAAATAAATAATATATTGCAATGTTTGCATTTTTACAAAGTATCATTTTTTTCACTTTAAATTGTTGAGTTTCATAAATTTTCTATTAAATCCTTTCAATCACTGATTATAATGTAAATTTTCTCAGTTAATTTTATTCTATAGGTGCATTTTATATTTAATGTACTAGATAGTTGAAAAAAATAATATATATCTACATTATTAATAAACCTAATATTCGATAGTTATCCAAAAATAAAATATTACTTAGAAATATTCAATTATATGCTTATAGTCTGCCACCCCGCAAAATCATTTTTTTATATACTTAAAATAATTTACCATTTAATTCAATTATAACACATCCCCAATAAGAATTTCAGTATTCAATAAAGATTTATACTCAATGTAACATTAAGTTACAACAAAGTAAATCCTTTGTTTTTTTATCCATAAGTACTTAAAATTATACTTCATAAATAATATTAACTATTAGTAATTATTACCTACTAATTATATTTTATTTTTCAATATTATGTAAATAAAACAATAAATATTGATAAACCACAATTATATAAAATTACACATAACAGTGAAATTTAATAACATTATATTTATAGTCATTTATGATTAGCTTATAATAATTTAAACAAATTATATACATATATTTTACATTTCCTTCGGTGTATATAAAAATTGTATCAGAGCTTACATTGACCAGTTAGTATATATTAAATGATAATACCAAGACTTTTTTATAAATTGATAGAAAATTATTAATTATTTTAAAATATAATCTTTATTATATTAAATTCAAAAAATATGCGTGAATATCAATATTATAGTGACTTATGTATATAACACATCATTCTTACATTAATGTGATTTTTAATAACTAGATTTATAAATTTACAGAGTTACGTTTGAAGTTTTCAGTCAAAATATTTTACTAAGATTAATACTTTATATAAAAGTTATAGCTAAACTTACTTGTCTAGGCATTTATCAAATAAAACGTATTAAATTAATTTACTTATACTTAAATGAGTAAAACTATCTACTTATTGAGTAATCACAACTTCAATACTTACATCATAATATGATTTTTACTAATAACAATTTAATAACTCTCAAATTTTAAATTTATAATATAAATCTTAAAACAATGGGCTTGTGATACATCTTATTTTCTACTACTTCTTGTGGTTTAAAATCTAATTTATTTCTAGTCTGGTATTTATGCGGTTGAAATGGTTGACGGACGACTTTACGTGTATTTGGACTTGGGCGCTGGCGGCACTCGTGCTGAAGTGAGTTCAGAAAAGACTAAAATAAACGACGGTCAATGGCACGAATTTTCGATATGGCGCAATGACAGAGATATACACTGCACCGTAGACGATTACTCTTCAGATTTTACAACAAACGGTAAGATACAATTTATTGTCACATCGTAAAAATATTTAATTTAGAATAATAAGAACATTATCATTCCTATAGAAATTTAGTTCAAATAGAGTTTTTGTCAAAAGGTATTCACAAATCTTTGAGATCTTAACCCCTCCATTTGATTTATTTTATGATTAACCATAATAAATTATTTAAGTTCTCTACACCACAAATTACTATATTGGAATCTAGATAAAGAAAATTTGTTAAATAAAATTAATATTTATTATGACTTATGAGTAATGTTTTCGTACACTATACAAATAGTTTAAATGATTTTTGTAGTTCTTGTTATAAATGTGTAGTTAGATCTTTGTCCTTAATTTAACATAGTTGAACTAAAAATGTGGTTGAAATCGTATATAGGGTAGTTAGTACTCTGCTATGTATACGCTGCTGGACACGAGGGACTTGTACATTAATTTTGTAGTGCGCATATAGTGTACCTTTAGATGCACTTTATACCTAGATACAATATCGTATTACGGTTATTAAACTTATGTTATTGTGTTAACATTTAAATGATCTCAAAAACCCATTTTGCTCATTATTGCGTTTACATATAATAAATAATAATATGTATCCTTAGTAATAAAATGAATACCAAAGCAATGGACATTTCTTTGTAGCCCTTTACAAATATGTGATGATGTGATTGTGAATTTTTAAAATAGCCTTAGATTTTCAAACAGTGCAATAGCATTTTGTATATCAATAAAAAAAAAGAATTCACACCGTTACTATATTTTTACATATCGTGATCACTTAAAAAAATAGAATATTGACATAACAAAAAAATAAAATATATAGTTATTTATTATATTTGGCTTTAACCAAAGTAATTTTAATTTAATTGTTTATATTCGAATAGCACGAAAAAAACTTCAATAATGTTTCTACCTGACCTGAAAAAATATTTGAAAGTCATATCGTTTAAATTTTTCTTAGTTGTCTTATTTATATAGCAACCATAATATATATCGTGCTTACAAGCGTGAACGTTTACCATCATATGACTGTATAACACACGTATATCAAGTAGAAAGTTTTGTTCAAATACATTTAGTCATAATATGTATAACTAGTACTTAGAAGTAGATGACCTAAAAAAAAAAGCAGAAAATATTAACTAAATATTTCAAAAAATACATCCCACAAATATAAATAAAAACCATATAAAAAACAAGGTAAATAATACTTTTTTCTAATTCGTGTAAATGCATTTAATTTTATAGATCATTTGACTAAATTAAATAGTAAAATACAAAATATATAGTATAATTTTATAATTTTGAATAATACAATCAATATTTATTTGTACATTTAATAAATAAGAATACTTTAAAGAAAAAAATAGATTTAAAATTATTTTATTTTAAAAAATATCCAAAATTATTTTAATTTTAAAATTTGATACAGAGACATAAAAGGCATAATTTTTCTAATGGAAATTGAAATGCTAAATTGACCTGAAAATGTCAAAAAATGCAAAATAAAAATTATTAATTTACATTCGTGCATCATTAAAACGCATATTTAGCTAAGATAGCTAAATCTCTCAGAAGTAGCGCCATGCTCAAAAGTGAAAAGCCATATTAAACTTCTGAACATTAATAAATTATAACATACGATAATCTATTATCACTCCAGCTAAACGTCATACCTAGTTTTCAAAACATTTCTCAATAATGATTTATTGTGTTTTCAGGTGATTCTAATCAGTTACACCTACAGAACGGCATCATGTTGGGATTTGGTGGTCGGGCAGTGTACCACAAAAAAATACCGTCTGGAGTATGGACACTATCATTAGAAACGGGATTTGTAGGGTGCGTGCGTGACCTCGTCTTGGATGGTGTAGCAATCAATTTAGTCAGCTTGTCTCTAGAACAGGATCACGGTAAATGTTTAATTAATTAAGCTGAATAAAATACAATTAACTATTAGAGTTGCGAAAAAATAATATATTAAACAGAGGAGATAAAACTGGTATTCCTATAAGTCCATTTTATACGTTAGTGCGATTACTTCGGGATAAATATTGTATACTTACTAATTAATTAGCTATGCTGACTTACAGATTTCTAAAGAGATATAACTACAAAAATTACTAAATAATCTAACCATTGAAATACTATTTCAAGCGAAATTTCAATATTACACAAAAATTATATCTACATGACATGTGTGGATCTTTTTTGTTTAGAATATGATATTGTAATGCGCATCAAGACTATTTAAAAATACAATTAATAAAATATAAATTTCTTAACTTTTCAAAATTGTTTCAACATTGAACATTATGTTAATAGTGTCCGTAACACCGCATTGTCCAGAATCTACTAATAGTTGCAAATCTGATACTTGTTACAACGGAGGAATTTGTCACGAAGGTTGGAACCGCGTGATATGTGACTGTTCAAATACTGAGTACGCTGGTGCCACTTGCATGAAAGGTAATACTAAATACCATACTAATAATTATTTGTAATACTTAAATTAAAATTTCGAATAACTAAGTAAGTTGATCTCAAAAACGATAGAAGTCTGAAAATTAAAATTAAACATTATACAAACTCATTGCTATACATTATTTAGTACTCCTAGGTACTCCTCGTGCTTTAAAATTTAATGAATGGAACCGCAGTCCGCAACCCATAACTGAATTTCTTAATTAGTTTCATGTTTAATGCTCCCAAATTCGTAACAAAAAAAAAAAAAAAGGAATACTGTTGAATTCTAAATTAGGAACTTAATTTTTTTTTTTGATTAATTAAGAATATATAATCTTACAAAATCTAATAAATGTTGCATAAATTAATTCGTATTAGAAAAAAAATACATTTAATGAATAATCTATATTCATATTACATTATGGTTATTACAGTGTATAATATGGTATTTTCTAAAACAATTTAAAATTATAGAAGTTAAACATATATAATATGGTTGTAAAATAAAAATTTTTATCTTTCAAGAATCATCCATGTACAGTTTTAACGGAACACAGTACGTACAAGCAATTATGCCAGAAAAGATGACAACTCAAGTTGAAGATATGTATTTTCGATTCAAAACAAACAGACCATTGGCCGTGCTAATGAAGACTTTCGATAGTTCATGGGATAGACTAGAAATCGCATTGATAGTTGGAAAAATTAGATTAGCCTTAAAAATTGGTGACAAAGAAAAGGTAGATACTAATTATTATATTTATTACATTTAACTTTAATGATTGTATAACTGTCTGTTCACAATTTATAAATATAAAACATATTATTAAATTTTAGTAATATAATAGTCTGTATAATAATTTAAGAATAGATATCATTGTTCATTTTTATCAACCAAAAAAAAATTAATTTTACGATTTCAATGGTTTTAACACTGAAGTACATTTTAAGTTTCAAATTTTCATAAAAATGAAACGTAAGACAAATTAATAAACCATTCTTTTTTATTATTTAGGTGGTTTTATGTGGATCTCATCTAGACGATAATAATTGGCATTCGGTGCACTATATTAGAAGGGCACATGAAATTCGTTTGAAAGTGGATAATGTCACTGTAAAAAGTAATTATAAATATTAAAATTCAATGTTGCTTGAATAGTCATTTTTTAAATAATAATTTTTTTTTAGACGATTCTGATATGGAAGATAAGATAACACTTAAGTGGCAAGGTCTATTAGTTGGTGGTACACCTCCTAAGGATCCAGATGCTTTAGCAAACCTCCCCAGCTTTATCGGTAGCATGCAACAATTTATACTAAACAAAATTAATTATTTTGATCTTGCGAAAATTTCAACCAGAGGCTGTAAGTTTTTTCTGAAAATCTAGAATGAGTATTGAAATTTAAATAGTAAAGGAGTATTTTCAGTAGCGATTTGTTTTTATTTACAGTTTCAGAAGACTTGCCCAAAGTACATATGACCTCCAAATATCAAAAACAAGAAAAACCCCCTTCGTTGGTGCACACGGTTACGTTCCTATCAAAGAATACATTCATAGGGTTGCCGCCATTAAAGGCCTACTCCAGAATGGAAGTATATTATAGATTTAAGACTAAACACACGTCCGGATTATTTTTCTACAACGGTGGAAAACACAACGATTTTGCTCTTGCCGAACTGATCAATGGCCACATACTTATCAACATTCGTTCAGGTACACATGTGATTCGTCTTCGGGACACTTCGAAGAATAGTTACAGTGACAACTACTGGCATTCAGTGCACTTGTTACAAATATCAGCCACTATGTTTTGTCTACTTATTGACGATCAGATAGCATCAACCACGACCATTTCTAGACCCCACAATATCCAATTAAACGGGATGTTTTATGTTGGTGAGTATGATTTGTTATTACCTAATATTATTCAATGTAGTAATTAGATAACATTCTGAGTTCAAGGTTATAATTTTAAAAACAATACTTTAATGACATGATTTTTGTGAGAAAATTAGGTACAATATAGTACCGTTAGATAAACTATTCACCAACTATGATAACTGATATTACATTTTATTTAAATTTTACAGATATGTGCCTGATATATTATACATTGTATTAAATAGTTTGAACAGTATACTTTGAAAATGTTCTGATGAAAATATAACACATTTTTACAGGTGGCGTACCTAAAGAATTGCATAAACGTCAATCAAAGCATATACACTCGAGACATGGATTTGAAGGGTGCATGTCCGGTCTGGAATACAATGGCGAATCTCCAGACATGGTAGAAAATGCCACCATACCTAGCACACTCATCACAGTAGGTTGTGACGGTAAGTTCATAGATAGTCTACACCAAAGCCGGAATTAAAATCTTTAAAAAAATAACCAGTTTTAAACCCTAAACAACCTATTTTTTTTAAATATTGGAATGAGAACCTCCAAAATCTTTAGTTAAATAATTTTTAAAACTGGAACCTTTAATTAGATCAATTTGAAAACCGGAGCCCTGTTGGTACTAATACTTTAAGATAAAAGTTTTTTAAGATTAATTTTGATTTTATTTGTAATTCTTTATTTCTAATTTATACTTATTATTAGTACTGATTGATTAATCAAAAGGACTAAACAAATACGTTTCTAGATCTACGAGTATTATTTTAATATTATTATTTATTATTAATAACTAATATTTAAAAATAATAATTTGATTAACAACAGAATACAGACATTTGAAATGTGTTTATAAAATCTAAAATATTTCAACGTTAACAATTGATAACATTGTTAACAAAAATAAAATGCATTGTGAACTGTATAGAGTGTTTAATTAAAAGTTATCACAGTTAAAATAAATTCTAAAAATATATTTATAAGTTTATAAATAACTAGGCTTGTTGTAATTTTATAAATGCTATTACCGTTATCCGACATCCAGCGATTGAGCGTTAAAAGTATTTCTTTTAAGTTTTATTTTATTTTAAATATTATTTATTACTTAAGAGTTACACAAAAACTTTAAATTGTATAGGATTTTTTTTTATTTAAAAAAATATTTTATCATTGTTCATTATTTTGAAGTTACCCTTATCATCAAATATTTAAGTCATTTTCTTTTAATTTTTGTAAGTATATTATTTTTTATTTATATATCACATAAAATCCTTTCATACCAAAGGTTATTTTTTTTTTATTTCGCTACTTGTATAGTGGTTTTTCATGAATGAGTCGTCATTAAAAATTAAAAGAATTTTAAAATGTTTACATTTTTTTTAAGTATTTCAAAATATTTTATATTACTCAGATCATTATAAAGCTAATTACATATTTATAATTATTATTTATCTACGAGGTAAAATGATTATATTAAAATTCTATGAAAGTGAAACAGATTTTCAAATTTACTGGAACCCCTAACCTGTAATTCTCTTGAAAAAAATATACTACGGTATGATAATAAAAAAACTGATAAAAATTTCAAAATTTTAAATTCCTATATTAAAAAAAGTAAATGTTAAAGAGCAACCAGTGTGTAATTTATAAATAACAAAAATAAAAATACGGTTATTTTATAGGAAACAAGGATACACATTAAGTAACAGTAATAAGTAATAATTATAAACTAATAAAAAGTAAATTGTTTACTTATAATTTATATAAAATCTCCCCTTAAACCTAAACAATTAAAAGGATGTTTAATTGAAAATAAGTACAGTCCGGTTTTTTCTTGTACATTTAAATACCGAAATTAAAATACTTACTGAAATTAAAATTTTTTAGAACCGATATTCAAAGTGAAATTGAAAAAATTATTTTCAATCTATGCACCAGAGTTAACTTTTTTGATAAGTTGACCCCACTTTAGACTATTAAGTATTTTGCCGATGGTCCATAAAAAAAATCTAGTCATATGATCGCACTATTATAGATATAGTTACGAGTAAAATTATATAACTTAGTATTTTAATTTTATAACAATATGCTTGTAACTCAAACTAATAGGTTAAGAACCATTAGTGTCACACGATATTTTTACAAAAATATCAGATAATACATAGCTTATTTATAATATTGTTATTTGACTCTACGTTACGCAGGACTCAGCAAAATGTGCACGCAAGATATGTGTGACAACCATGGAACGTGTGTGGAACAGTGGAACTCGTATTCGTGCGATTGTGACATGACTGCGTTTGTTGGACCGACATGTTCTGAACGTAAGTAGGAATCCGATATTTAAAATAAAATGCACACGTTATGACTTATTTAGTTATCCACATGTGTGATTCCGCGCTTTTATACCTTTATTAAGTTAAAAAATGCTGATATAAGTTTGATTAGTGTTTTTTCTTACAATATATAGTACGAAATACTTATTTATTTACATAAAAAATATCCGTATTGTTTCAGCTTCTATTTCCTACGATTTTGGCCCTGATGGGGGTCTTGTAACATATGCGTTCCCCGATGGACGTCAACCAGATATGCAAAACGACCTATTGGCTTTAGGCTTCATTACATCCAAGTCTAGCGGTGTACTGTTCCGTGTAGAAAGTGGCACTTCTGGTGATTATCTACAGCTTGAAATGGTAAATAATATTTACATTATACTTAAGTCTTAAATATTACTATACAGTTGGGACGGGCAACTCAAAATTACTTAAAAGCTAATTTTAGAGAAAATTAAAAATCTAGCAGGTCAAAGCATATAGAAAGGAAAAAAAAGTCATTCAAAATATGTATTTTAAATAGCATTTATTTTGTTTATAATGCGAATTTTTAACTTAAAAATTGTATGATGTGTTATTTAAAAATGTGGTACGGCCCAGATAAAAAAGACTTGCGAGCCGTCATTTGCAAACTTCTGCCATACAGTATTTTATTAAAACAAATGTCTGTAATATAAGTACTGATAAAATATATAATTTAGTTCATACTTTTGAACTGAAAAAATTGCAAATTATTTATAATTATTGTAATAAGTATTTAATATGGTGAAATATCTAATTCACTAAAAAAAATAATAATAATAATAATTTATTTACTATGTATTCTTCATCGTCATCTCATAAACCAATTTTAAATTTTAAAAATACGTAATTTTAATAAAATATTTGTGTTGTTATTTTTTTTAATTACTTCACATATTTAAAACAATTGATTCATAGTATAGAAAATAATCTTTTTAAATAATACTGAAGTTTTTAAAAAAAAATTTCAATAAGTTAAGTAAATAAAATCAAATAATTAAAATATGATCTATTTAATAATAGCATACAACACTTAGATACATGATTCTATTGTTTATATATTATTACGACTAAATAACACAATACTTTACATACTTTTTTAGTTTGACTAACATTTTATTTATTTTTTTAATATATATGCATGCAAGAATTGAAAAATAGTTTCAGATTTTCAAACTAGAATAAAATTTAACTTTTTTAAAAATATTATCAAGAGGTAGATAAAGTTTTCCCATCTTCCAAATACCTATTCAATTTAGTTTCTATAACGCATATTTTTGATCTAAACACCTTTTAAACTTTAATAATGACACTATAATTTGTCTATAAATTCATTGTTTTCCTTAAATGACGTTTATTTAACGTTTTAGTAAATAGTAAAATTCACATGTGCGTATAATTGTTTGATTTTATTAAATCGTTTGATATATTTTTTTTAAATATGTAATATAAATTTATGATTAACTATAATTACAATTATATTTTATACTTAATTTGTCAATTATTAATATTTTTATTTTTTACCTTAATAGGTGAATGGACATATAGTAGTCATTTACAACGTTGGGACTAATGACCATCCCATCGGTGAAGCAAATATCTTAGTGAATGACAATTCCTATCATTTGGTCAGATTTGTAAGGTCAGGGCCAAATTCGACGTTGCAAGTGGATGATAATAGTATGCAAACTCTCTATCCTTCAGGTGCGTATTGAAACTATGTTTAAATTGGATAAAACAATTTAATACTTGAGAAACATTTACACTATATTTACAGGGCATCAACTCAGCGTTTTCAATAGACAGTCAACAATTCAAGTTGGTGGTAGGTGGAATAAAACTAAACAACGTATTGAAGACGCGTTCGAAGGAGTTATGGTTGGATTGGTCTTCAATGGCCTCAGAGTATTTGACTTGACAGCCAACAGAGATCCAAGAACAACTAGCAAAGGAGACGCGCAACAGTTGTCATCGATTTTAGACAGGTTGAACGAACACTCTCTGTTGGATACCATGCAACAGGTTAATTTAACAATTTAAATACATATTTACATTAAAAATGATAAATTCTGCCATATAACAGTGTTTATTATGGTATTTGTAGTCTTAACCATTTAACAATGTTAACTTCTTAACATCTAAAATTTAATTGCTTAGACACCAGCGTCGGGTGTAATGGACGACTTAGTGTACTCTGGAGCAGGATCTGGTTGTAATCACGACGATGAAGATCAGTGTACTGTAACATTTGATGTTGGGTCTGGTGAGTAATATTAACATTATAATATTATATAATAATTTTGTAAAATAATTGCATTAGAATTCAATAAATTAATGGATTTAACTTAAATTTGATTCTTTCCTGCTATTTTAAATTGAAACATCTTCATAATGCGTAGTGTAATTTACCTATATATTGTATAATATTATCAGTCTAAATAACAGTAACTTAGCTTATATTTTTGAAACTCCTGAAATATTTTTTTTTAATTGAAATATTTCTTATGAATTTAAAAAAAAATTGAACTTATAATAAATAATAACTATAAGTTAAAAATATTGATAAAACATTATAATTGTATATTTTTCCAACACAGGGGATGACTTGATTACACCTGTGTACGTACCTCCAACAGTTGTACCGCCTCCATCATTAGTAACTGATGTCCCCGGTGCGTGTGATGACGAAGAAACTGACTGTATTACAGGTTCAGGATTTGGCCCTACTTCTTCTACTGATGATTCAGCCACTACTATTAAAAGTATGAAGCATATTATATTTTGTTGCATTCATATAATAACTGTACTTATATCAAAATTGATTTAATTTTATCAGTATCAACTAAAATTAGGTAGAACAAAAATAAGAAACAAAATAGTATAATCATAAAAACAAATGTAAAAGATACTATATTTAACCGTATTACTCATACATTTAAATATCATAATTATAAATTGATAAAAGTATATAGTACCTATACTTTATTGTACCTACACGTCTTATATTATTTTTGACTAATGTTCTTTTAATTTTTTTTTTTTTTAATTACTTAATGAAAAAACTTACAACGAAACTAAATCTACGTAGCTGGTTTATGTTGGTAGACATAGTATGATCTTACACAAATAATTTGAAACTTAATTAAAAATACAGTCACGTAGTCACTGATATAATAAAAATAATGAATATATTAATCAACTGTTACAGTGTTCGATTATAATATTTATGAGCAAATGCAACAATCATAATATTGTTTCGTTTAGGTTCACATGCGGTAGTGACGACATTCAATGGCGTTACCAACTGGACGACGACTCCCGTTAACCGAACCGCAGGGGTGGAACAACAATCGTCGAACAAGACTAATGGGGCAGCGACAGTGAGTACCGTAGTACCGGCAACTAACCAAACAGAACCATACTGGTCGTCGGCCGTCACGACCACCGCGACGAAAACAGCCACGCACTCAAGAGCGCCCGGTACCGCCGTGACCGTGACCGCGACCGCGGCGACGAACACGTCGAGCAGTTCGACCGGGGTGTCGTCATCTGGAGGAAACGACAAGTCGACCAGCACAGGCACTGGAACCGTGGTCATCTCCTCCACGAGTACCACCAGCACCACGACGCACTCCACGTTCTTTGACACCGTCGACAAGGAGACGAACGTGAAATCGGGCGGCGGCGGCGGTTACGAATACGGCGGCGGTAACCGCTACGGCGGTGGTTACGACGAACGCGACGGCGAGACGATGATGACCACACCAAACGTGGTATTCGGTGGTGATCATTTCCCGCCGGCGGCCAAACCGACGCCGCCCAAGCACGCCGAACCGCCGATCAACACTAAGGCGGCCGAGAGCACGGCGTTCGTAGTGCTCGTCACAGCCGCCACGCTCATCATCATAGTGCTCATCATACTGCTCGTGCTCAAGGTCAAGTACAGAACCGACACGAACAGGTGTGTATATGCTGAAAGAGTAACATAATAAGATTATTATTAATAATAACAAAACGTTGTGTGATAGAGTACATGGGTTGCAAATAAGCTATATTATAAGTGAATGCGATTATGAGGAGCTCAGTGTGTCTGTGTGTTTTCCTGTAAAACACACTTTTGGTGTGTTTTTAGTAGAATATTATTTTCATATCAAGCACTTAACTCAGTATAATACCCTGCATAGTATAGGTAATAAAAGTTTTTATACTTTCAATAGATAGAAGAATATGAGACCAATCGTTCATATAAGTACTTAATCACTGGACTAGTATTATATTATATATAAATCTATTTTAATTATGATGAATTATAGTTTACAGATTCTAGGTTGGTGACCCAATTTAAAAATTTGAAATAAAAAAACAAGAATAAAATAATTTCTATTGTATATTTTTAAATTTATATTTGAAAACAAAAATCATGCATATTATATGAGAACTATAAGTCAATAATATAATTCATGTATAATAATTGAAATTAAAATTAAAAACAGAGCAATTTGTCCTAGAAGAATTTCATCGTCAATGCAAAATCTAGTGAAAATTCTAAATAAGAAAAAACATTATAATATTGTCATCCTAGTTTACACTTTAATTGTTTAGAGTTCATTGACTAATACACAGCACTGAGCAACATAAAAACTTACGATTACCTTCCCTATCTTCCCTATTTTTTAAATTTTAGTCTTGTAAACACAGTTATAAAATTTAAAAATCTTTTAGATATCTAATCTCGTATATTTCTACACATTTACTTATGAATGAGGGATATGCTAATTTAAACATTCGTACGGTCTATAAAATATGTATGTTTGATGGCACATTATTTTCTACTCTTTTAGTTAATAAAATATTAATGCACCATTTCTAAAATAAATTATCTAATAGGTAAATTGTTCGAGAGAAGATTTTCAATTTAATTTTTGTGGGTAGGTGTTAATTTTTTCGGGAGATGGTAAACTGCGGCAAAATTTACCTTTTTCTAAAAGTCGATATGTAAACTAGGGCAAAAAAAATTAAGATTATACAATCTGCAACAAAACCGATAAGGTACATCACACAAACTGCGGAAATTTATTTTATATACTTTCTATATATACTATATATATATATATATATACCTACCTATGTGTACCTATGTACGTATATCATTAAATTAATTATGTGATGTTGTGTCTTGAGTACAAATTAATAAGGTAAATTCAAATGTATTTTTAAGTTTTAACAAAACATAGAAAAAAAATTAGAAGTGTAGAAGAAAGGGTAATACAAAAAAAAAAAAAAATAAAGCGACAACACAAGAATAGAAATGTATTAATATATTGCGATAAATGAAAGAAATTAAACAGATTTCAAAATATGAATTTTTGAAAAAAAGTATGTTTTAAGAATAAACGACATTTTAATTAGGTACCTATTATATTACTATTTAATATTTTTTTTTTTTTATTATACGATTTTTTTAATAATTTTTAATAATAATAATGTTTTTTAATTTTAAAATTGGTTTTTTGATTATACGATCATTTGATCTAATTTTTAATAATATTATACTTTTCAATTTTAAAAATTGGTTTTGCTTTATTTTTGCGCCTAATACTCTAAGACAGTGTTTCTTAACCTGTGTTCCGCGGAACCCTAGGGTTCCGCGAAGATCACTTGAGGGTTCCGCGAATGTGCTGTGCTGTGTTTTTATCAAAATATTAAAAATAAAAAAAAGCTAGAATTCTAGAGGTAGCTAGTGGGAAAACCCGTTAGACGTGCACAATATATTGTATAAGATATTATTATATTGTTATATAAGAGTCAATAAAATTACAGTTCATTATTTTTAATGAGTTTTAATGATGACGATAAGAGCAACGACGATGGCATGACAGTATCGAATAATTATTTATAACCGCTTTTTACCGTATATTATTATATAATATACGATTATATACGATATTATTATAAAATATTATACGAAGTATAATATTACTAATATTGTACATCAGTACGTATTCGTCCATTCGTAGTCGTCCGTTAACCGTTGTTCGTCAGTTGTGTGTGGCAATTTATTAAAATATGAGTAAACAAAAGAAGTTGGATTTCTTTTTGAAAAATCCAAATACTAGTGTAATTACTACTGCTGAGGAACCAACACCATCAATGAGTGATGTCACATCTTCGTTGGAACCAAAACGGAAGAAACCGAAAACCCGTAAGTACGATCCCTCATACCTAGCGTTCGGATTTACATACAAAGATGATTGCCCTCAATGCGTTATTTGCTCGGAAATGTTAACTAATAGTTCTATGGCTCCAGCAAAACTTTTAAGACATTTGGAAACAAAACACCAGCAGTATAAGAGTAAGTCAATCGATTTTTTTAAAAGAAAAGAGAGTGAATTGAAAGCTCAGAAAACACTAATTCGAAATACGGGAACTGAAAATGAGTTAGCCCTTAAAGCGTCATTTTTGATATCACTTCGCATTGCAAAATCAAAAAAAAATTTTACCATAGGAGAAGACTTAATTATGCCTTGTATGGTCGATGCCAACCTTACACTTTTTGGAGATAAAGCTGCTAAAAAAATAAAAACAATACCTCTTTCTAATGATACAGTTTCAAATCGCATAACTATGATGAGCGATGATGTTCATCAGCAACTTATAAGAAAAATAAAAAGGTCAAAGCTCTATGCTCTTCAATTAGATGAGTCGACTGACATTACTGATAAAGCACTGCTACTTATTTATATTCGGTATGTGGACTGGGACGAAAAAGAAATCAAAGAAGAATTCTTGAACTGTTTGGAACTGAAGAAACATACAACTGGCGCTGAAATTTTTTCTGCATTGTCCGATTGTTTCTTAAGTACAGATTTAAAGATGTCAGAGTGTATCTCAATTTGTACTGATGGCGCGGCTAATATGACTGGTAGGCATGCAGGACTAGTCGCAAAAATGAAACAAGTAGCTCCAAATATACAAAGCACACATTGTATGATACACCGAGAAATGCTAGCAAGTAAAAGAATGAGTGCCGAGTTTAATCAAGTACTAACAACAGCTGTCAAAACCGTAAATTTTATTAAGTCCATCTCTCTTAATTCACGACTGTTTGCAATGTTGTGTGATGAAATGGGATCCACACACAGAACGCTATTATTGCATGCGGAAGTTCGCTGGCTTTCGAGAGGTCGGATATTAAAAAGACTGTGTGAACTTAGAGAAGAAATAATAATATTTTTATCAAGCAAAAATTGTGACCTGGTTCAGTACTTCAAAGACATATATTGGAATATGAAATTATGTTATCTTGCAGACATATTTCAACTTTTGAATGAGCTAAACCTGTCTCTTCAAGGAACACAAAAAACCATATTTCACAGTTACAGTAAAATAGAAGGGCAAAAGAAAAAATTTAAGCTGTGGATCACAAGAATTGAGAACAACTGTTTTGAAATGTTCAGCACCTTAATGGAGTTCATGAGGGGGGTGAATGAGAATAATGAAGATTACAATATTACTCAACTTAAACTGATTATTGTTAATCATTTGAATATGTTATCGCTTAAATTTGAAGAGTATTTCCCTTCAAATCAAGACCCAAGAGATGGTTTCTTATGGATTTTGGATCCATTCAGTGCCAATAGCTCAACAAATACTCTATCTACGAATGAAGAGGATATGTTGGCAGATCTTTCCTCAGACGTCACGTTGAAAAACTTAAAAAACAATTCATCACTAGATAAATTTTGGATAGAAGTTCACAGCGAATATGAGGCATTAAGTGAAAAGGCGTTGGGAGTCCTGCTTCCTTTTCCTTCAACATACTTATGTGAAAGTGGATTCTCAGAAGTCACTGCAACCAAGACTAAATATCGAAATAGATTGAATGTGACGCCGACACTAAGACTTTCATTAACAAACCTTACTCCAGATATTGATAACATATGCAGTCATATTCAAGCGCAACCATCCCATTAAGATTCATGCAATTATTGTATTATTATTTTTCCTGTTATTACAATCTAATTTAAATTTAATCTAATCTAAATATATTATATAATGTTACTTCTCAATATAATCTAAATTCTAAATAAATTATTATATTTTATTTGTATTTAGTATTTTAATCACTAAAGTTTAGTGCATTGCTAATGTTGCCGCTTATCGCCATGTTTTGTGTACCCTTCTTTTTTAAAGATATTTTCAGAGGGGTTCCGCATGAAAAAAATATTATTGTCTGGTGTTCCGTGATATCAAAAAGGTTAAGAAACACTGCTCTAAGAGATACTAATAGCTGTCATAACACGTAATACGTATTATACTTAATTAAACGATAAACGTATATATAGATTATCGTAACGATATGTATATACATACAATATATATTGAAAGTATATAAAATAAATTGCCGCAGTTTATAATATGATGTATCTTATTGGTTTTGTCGCAGATTGTATAATCTTAATTTTTTTTTTTTGCCGCAGTTTACATATCGACTTTTAGAAAAAGATAAATTTTGCCGCAGTTTACATACAGCCATTTTTTCATGCCATAGCTGATAACCTTAATTCGATTTTATTTTCATGTTATTTTGATTATTACGTGTATTTTATTGTAATTATTTTGTATTTAATTGTTATTTATTCATTCTCTGTAAACATCGATGATTAAATCATATTTTAACATATTATATACAAACATTAAATTCATTTTATAATATTTCAAAAAAAATTCTATTTGACAAATTCTTGTTTTAAATTATCCGTTTTTTATCTAGAATTCTAGATAAATCATAGGCGTGCGCACAGGGTATGCAGGGTATGCCACTGCATAGTCTACAGCTACATGTGAGGGCCCATATTTATTATAATATCATATTATTAAAATTTAATAGTATTAAAAAAATACATATAAAAATTTTTTTTTGGTTTTCTTACGACCTACGTGATAATCTAAAATATAGACGTATCATTAAATCTTGTTATCACAGTTTCCAACATTTCCAACCAGAAAGTAACATTTAGATATTATTATCTATGTTACAACATAAAAACTTTAGGTATATGGAATAATAATTATTGTTTTTATGGTTTGTAATCAAAGACTATAATAATAATATATACTAAGTCTGGCGTATAGCCATATAGGACGGTATTATTAATAATATTGTTCCATGTCACTGGTTGGATAAAATGATAAGTAAGATTTAAGTTTTGTTATTTTTGATTTTACCGCCAACCATTACTGATAGACAATAGAAATTTTTACCTTAAAAAATTGAAAACTATTTTGGACGAACTGATGTTTTTTGCCATAATTCGTGAATTGTTTATTTCTTATTGACATTAGTTCATTAATTCTTTTAAAACTTACTACAGTACGTTGTTTAATATTTTATTGTAAAACTATGTGTGATTTTAGATTCTGAGGGATGTAAAGAAGCTAAGTAGCATATTTGTAAAAACTTAGATTGTACCAATATTGAGTCCTATATATGGAAGAAAATGTTTAACGGCTTAGAATCTTTTTTAGAAATTTAAAATAAATTATTTATTCTTTACTTTCTATCCTATCTTAGGTTGCAAGATATGTTGCGTGATTTTTTTTTCTTGTGAGGAGCCCTATTTTTTTATTGCACAACCTGCGAATAAAGTCTGCGCACGCCTATGAGATAAATGTTATCTATTATCGTAAATAGATAATTTTTGGGTTAACGTTGTACCATCACGACTTTTTCAAATTCAAATTTAATATGTCGCGAGTATGCGTGTGATTTATGCGAGAGGAAACAATTAATAATAGTGCACTGATATTACCATTGCTTGTATTATTTCTGTATAATAATATATTAAGTTTTTGCTATTCCGTACATTTTAGTATTTCTAATATATACATAATATATTTGTACCTATATCTGTTACACGTATGCCATCGGTTATTGACATTGTTTTTATTTGTGTTACACATTAATCGCTGCAGATATAAGATCGAAATGCCCAAAGCTTACGGTGCGCCCATCGACCAAGGCTCGGACAGGGGTGGCTTGTGCCATCAGCAGCAGCAGCAACAGCACCTTCATCACCAGCAGCAGGCCAACTTGCTGTCGCCGGGCAACTATCCTTCGTCGGCGCAATCGTCGCCCACTTACGCACACAACAACTTCAGACCGCACAGCGGCGGCGGTGGTGTCGGCGGCATGGTCGGAGTGAGCAACAAGCCCAAGAAGAGACAGGACGTCAAGGAGTGGTATGTGTGAGGGGGTCAGGCGTACACGTGCCGTACGCTCACCGCCGTTCCCATACGGCACTGCTCGGAAAACAATAACGATAATACACCCAAATATTATTATACCTACGACCTATTATTGTGTATATAAGCGTGTACGATAACGTTATCATGTTTTAGGTACTTAATTATTATAATCATTATTATTCTGTAATATTGTAAATGTATATAATAGTGTGCATTGTAGGTACTGCGTTTAATATTTTATAACATAGGTAGCCGATGTATATATATATATATATATTGTATTTCGCAAGTCATGACGTACCTGCGGAAACGGGCCGTGTTTACATGTCGGTAACAATGGTAACCGCACGTGGTATGCACTGCTTGCAATCGTAACAATATTAAGTATTGGGTATATACCGTACGCGTCATACGCGGTAAATACCGCGAACGTTGAAACCAGCCTGCTACAATGCAGCTGGGTGAGATCCGCCTGTGATAACATTTTGTAATGTCGTTTAAACGATTACTTACAAGAAAATATTGTTTACGGAGCGTCATATTATATTAATATTTAACTGTTATATTCACAACTTACTATAATTATATATATATATATATATATATACATATATTTATTTATATTTTAATAATATAACAATAATATTTCCTATCCTAAACGAGTATAATTATTGTAATTTACGCGACGGTCGTTTTTTATTCGAAACGAAAAAATCAACCATCGATCACGTCAAAAATCGTCTACAAGACTTAAATGCTAGCAATGATAGGTACGTCCTGTTGTCCTATACGACAGAGTCAAGTCTAATTCCGATAATATTATTTTATAATAATTACCTAATATTAGACATGTGTGATTTTTATTTGTATCGTCAATTTTTTGTTTTTATTATCATCACCCAATACCATACTTTGTGTCGTTTTTTCTTCTATCTTTCACGCCATACATATTAGATAGGTAACTACCCAAAATGGTTACCTATATATAAATAATAGTATTATAATTAGGATTAGGATGTTTATGGCCTTAAAATTTCTAAGAAAAATTATTCAAATATGCCAAAAATATATCAGAGTGTATGTACCATATCTGGAATTATATAAACCTCCCTACTCCTAAATTGCATACTTAATTTATATTATTCATTCAAAACATAATAGATACCTATAAATTTTTAGTAACTCACGTTATGCACATCGGTGGCATCATTTGGAGGGAGGAGTGACAATGTAGAGGTATTGTCTAATTTGAAAATTCGATAAGATTAGTAATCGTAATCCCATATAGTTAAAATTTAATCTATTCTGTGGATTTTATTTCTATACAGTGGATACAAGTATACTTACTAAAATAAAAATTTATCTACTTATAACTTAAAAACATTTTTATTATTTAATCCTGTTAACAGATTTTTAATTAAAATATAAAGTATCCGCTACTTTATATTTGTAAATTATCTTGTTAGTTAATAAAAAATTGGTTTCGTTGTAACGATTAAAAAATAAAATATAAAATATGAAAGATGGCAAAAATAATTAAATAAAAATTTAAGTATAAACGTAGTTGAGAGCATAGTGTGCAAGACTAAAAAAAAATACATTTAAGTCATAAACATTCTAATACTACCACTTAAATTATTTTCAAAATAACGCGGTATGTTGTAGAGAAAGTTCCGTTTTACTATTCAACTTTATGGATATGTCAGTTTGAAACGCTTTGATTTTCAACTGACTTTTTTATATTTGCTCTCTGTTTTACTACTAGCGTTAGGTATACCATATTATTATATTGCAATGTTAGTTACGTGTATTTTTCAATACAAATCCATAAATATATCAATCGGTTTCAGTGAATTTTTTTTTTCGATTTTACGTTTCAAGGATGAGACAATAATCATTACTCATAGATATTTAAAAATAATTCAAAATATAGGTACTATAACTTCTACTATAAGTATAAAATGTTATATTATTGAGTTTAATTAATATGAGATGTATTATTATTATATTATTACTACAATAGTCAAATTTTATTCAAATATGATTTGTCGTAATAATTTTATGAAATCGTAACAGTAACTTCAAATTCACAATACTATAGTACCTAGTACGTGTTAATAATTTTTAAAGGCGTTATATGTAACTTACTATACATTTTATAATTATTATTAAATTTAATATTTAGAAGTACTTACCAACACATTGAAATATAAACCTATCATGCTATCTCCAACTCTTTTTGTTAGTACCTATCTTTCAAAATTCTCCCATATTGTTTTCACATTTTTCTAATTTGATTTTAATAAATACGAGTTGTAATATCGCAGGGTTTCCAAAAAAATGAGTATAGAAAATGTATAAAGGTATAAAGCATATGTAGGTAGTAGGTAATATGTGACTATATGAATTAAATAAATGATACAATTATAATATATATTCAACATTGTAACGAGTTGGCCCAGAACATAGAAGTAAACAAAAAATATATGTTGAAACTCTTTTTAATTTTTAATATTTTCAATAAAAGTATATTTCTGAAATAAATTTTTATCTGATTCTTTCTACGATTCAAAACGAATTTTCATATAATTCATTAAAATTGATGGTAGGCCACTGCAAAAGAGTAGATACCAATCTGAGATCTAATGATAGGAAGGTATCTAAAATTGTATACGACTGTTACATAATAAATAATGTGTTAATAAAAGTATCTATAGTCATATTATAATAATATATAGGTAATAAAAAATGTAGTACAAATTCATTTAAAATGTGTTAAAGTTTATTTTTCTTAAACATCTTAATAATATCTAAATTGTCGATTTTATTATTTTTAGGAACTTAACTAGCTAGTTAAAAATAAACCATCAATTAAAAAGTTTAAAAATTCCTCGTACATAAACTCTTCCCTCTTTTTTTACACTCGTTAATGAACAATCACATATCAATTGAAAATAAAGATTGTATGTTACACTATTTGTCTATAATCATAATTATTATTTATAATAAAGAATTTCTACCGGACATGTCCAACTGTATAAGTCATTTTTGGAGTATATTTAGGTACCTAATTTATCAACTAACGAGACAAGACCTTAAACCATAAAATATTAGTTCTCATCCTTGTAATGTAGGTATCCTATAGTTGTAATTACGAATTTTATTGTTTTTGTTATTATTGATTACCTACCTTACATACGGAATCAACTGTGAAAATTTATAACTAATTAACGGATTTAAAAATGCACACACCAACACTCGTCGTTGATCTATAATAATGTCGTTTTCTTGTTCCATGTATAATGTATAAAGTTTAAAAATATAAAATAATTATAAAAAATGTAGATGATTATAATATTGTCGTTATATTGTGGAATCTTTGTACAAAAAAATTGTTGATCAATGTACTATAAATAAAATACCTACTTACTAATAATTATAATCAATATTATCATGTTACATGCAGTAATAGTTGTATTAGTTATCTTACTGTAGATAATTAACTAGATAGATAAATGTTTGACTCACAAATGATTATGCGTGTGTAAATATCATTAAATGTAGGTAGTTCCCAAAATCTAAGCTCAAAATTGATCGTAAGGCGACAATTTTATTTTATAATTAGCTTATACAACTAATTTTCCTAGGTATCTATTGACTATTTGATGTTGATATTTTGATAGAATAAAACGGTGATAATAATTAAATTTAAAAACTTAGTGATATATTATTATTGATTAATAATAATATTATTTATAACAACATAAATGTGATCAAAAAACAATTCTATAATGTTTAATGAAACATCTTCTATAACATTAATTTTTAAATTAAATTGTTTAAATTATGTATTAATATACAATACATTTAATTTCACACAAGTATTTAAAATTTACTATCATAATTGATACACTTAAATACTTAATAATGAATATAGTAATTTAATAAAACATTTAAACATCTTATAAATAAATTCATTTTTTTTTCTTTTAACAAATTGTGAATTTTTTAGAATAATTTAACTTCATTAAAGCATATTATATTATAATTTTGTATATGTACCTTCCTACTTCTTTATAGAGACGTATATTATTTATTATATTAAATATTAATCCATTATTACCTTTTTTGTATTCTAAAAAGATATCCATGTCAGATTTTTTATATCAACATAAATTTAATGGATCAGAAAATATATTATAAAAAAATTGTGATGATATTATAATCATTTTGATATAAAACTTTCAATTTCAAATAATTACAGTTTTTATCAATACATTTTTAATAGTATTTGGTGGCTGTATTGTATACATTATAATTTTTAACGATGATTTAAAGCAGAAATAACAAATATAATTAAAACAATTTGAAACAATAAAAAAATTATTCATGGACTTTACGATCAATTTAAATATTTTTAATACATTTATTTGTATTACTTATATTCATGCCTAATTAAAAATGGGTATATCTTCAAATAATGTGTGTCTTTTAAATAATTTTAATAATAAAAAGTCTTTAACTTGTTTTATTCTTCCAAATCATATCGTATTTGTAATTTTATAACTAAATAATAAAAAAAAAAAAACTTTTAAAAAAATCAATAAAACTTAAATCAGTAAATTAAATTTATATCAGTTGCTTGTTAATAAATTACAACTATAATTATTGTTATATAACTGATAAGAACAATTTAAATTTGAAAGGATATCTGATTTCATACTAATGCTTTTCTGACAAATTAAATTATATTCATTTTTAAAGTTAGGAACGTAACCAAGTAAGTACCAAAAAATAAATAAAAATGCACTTTTATTTTTATAGATTTAAATCAATAATCTAATAAACAAAAAAAATGAAATATTATTAGTCAGACTAATAATATCAGCAGGAGAAATATACTGTAAATAGTTGTTACGTTCCTATATTTAAGTCAATTTAAAATATCCAACTATTTATCGACTCACTTAAAAATTGGATTTAACACTAAATTTAGTTGGACTCCTATAATAACTCAAAAAAAATTCTTAAAAATGCAATCTCCCTAGCCCATATTACATAAATCCAACCGATATAAACAATTTTTTTTTCTTCAAAACCCCAAAATAAAATATTTGATCAAATCCAAAACTGTTAAGATTGTTATGATAAAAATATCATATGATAGATATAATGTCTTGTTGTTTGTATTTTTTACAGTTATTAGTTAAATGTAAATAATTTAAAGTTTTAATTTATTACTCAGATAAATTATTATAATTTAAAAATTCTAATTAATAACCATTGATTAAATATATAATTGTATTGTTACAATCAATGTAATAACAATGAACCAAATTTAATTATATTACATAAAATATCTGTTATTAAATACTAGACACGTAAAAACTATATAAAGCCCTTTTGTAGATTAACAATCAACCACAATTCTCTCATTGTCTATATCAATACAAGACATACTTAAGTATAAGCAAATTATGTTTATTTTATTTATACCCTCCTACCTACCTAAGTATTTTGAGTAGAAATCATATAGGTAACTTAAGCGCGAAATTGTATTGAATT